TAAGAAATCTAGAGGTCAGATGTTTATGTGACCAGCTCACCAACATGGTTTATATTCCCAGTTAAGTATTGAGTGATATTTAACCATTTTATGGCTCCAAGCCTTTAAAAACAATACAGTTATCATCCTACGTTTGCATGTTTGCAGGTGAAGCGTAGTTTGAAGCCTAGTTTCTTTAAAAATAGGCTTTGTGACACACAGTGTCCACATATTGAATATTTTAATACTTCAAAAATGAATCAGTTAAGATTGGGCTGAGACTTATCATCCATGATATTAGGCATATCTGCTCCATGTGACATCATACAGATCTGACAGTAGAAAAAACACTGATAGTATTTACAGCAATCTGAACTCATCATTACTTTTGCATTTGCTGACCTGAACAAACTGTTCGAATGTTAGAACAGGACATATGTGACAGTTTCCTGTTGCATCCGAGTTCCTCTCTGAGGGATTTCTGTGTTTCCTCACCTTTGTTCAGAGATGAGACGCTCTGCTTCTTCACAGCAGTACAGCTCCTCTTCCTCCTAAAAGAACAGAGAGCCTCCAATAATCCACACCAGTGTCAACAGCTTATAACTTTATAGATTTAAAACAATCTACCAACACGTCCAGATGCTTATTTTCTCCTTGAAGTAACAAAAACAAAGAGTTGTTATTGAAAACCATCAGCTCACCCGTGTTTGTGACTGATAGTGGTTCCTCATCCTATCACAGCTGGCCTTTAAATTCAGGTGATCTGACGGGGAAAGCCGCCGTGTGTCATCGTGGCAGCCATGGCTGCTGCTGGATGCATCAGCGTGGTTTTCATCCATGCAACACTGTGACATCTGAACGTGGGGATTTTGGTAAACAAATGTAAATGTTAGAGTTTACTTCATCCTTCCTCAAATCACGGTCAATGTTTAAAAATGGACGACAACTCAGACACGGACGCTGTGTTTTTGAGCTTTGAGATTATATTTGCATTGTTATCCGTCAGATCGGAGAGCAGCAACATCGGGATTGAAGCATTAACCCTTTAAGACCTGCCATAGAACCAA